ATTTTTCAGCAGTTGTGGCTAAATTTTATTGTCATACTACTGTCACAAGTCTTGTCTACCTCCTTTATATGGCCTACATGGCCTGCCTTCCACTGCCACCAGCATGATCTTCTGTTCTTTAAACTTTAATAATCTTTATGTATTATAAGGAGCTTAGAAATACCTTTCTCTGTAAGAAGTCCAAGAGAGAGAGAATTTAAGTGCCCTGGGTTGACCTTCGTGGTCATCAGCTTGATGGGTAACCTGCCAGGCCTTTTTATTGCAATACTGTTTTATTGGTTTTACTATTGTTTTTAACATAAATGGTATTATATTTGTGTTTTTCTGCTGTTTTTTGATCCCTCAGAATGATTTTTTAAGGCACAAATCTTTTGAAATCAATTATTTTTTAAATCTTATTTTTTATTTTCAATTACAGTTGACATATGTTATTATATTAGTTTCAGGTCTATACCCCAGTAATTAGACATTACACAGCTTACTAAGTGATCATCAGATAAATCTCACACCCTCTGACACAATACATAGTCTGTTCTTTATATCCCCATGACTATTCTGTAATAGCCAATTTGTATTCTCAATCCCTTTATTAATCCCCCTAACTCCCCTCCCATCTTACAACTTTCAAAATGTTTTCTGTATCTGTAAGTCTGTTTCTGTTCTACTTGTTTGTATATTTTGTTTTTTTTTATATTCAATTGTTGATAGATATGTATTTATTTGCATTTTATTATTCATATTTTTTTTCTTCTTCTTAAAGAAGACTCTTTAACATTTCATATAACACTGGTTTGGTGGTGATGAACTCTAGCTTTTTCTTGTCTGGGAAGCTCTTTATCTGTCCTTTGATTCTAAATGACAGCCTTGCTGGGTAGAGTAATCTTGGTTGTAGGCCCCTGCTTTTCATCACTTTGAATACAGTCAAACCTTGGTTCTTGAATGTCTTCCATCTTGAACAATTTGGTTCTCACCCAAGTGGAAAAAATGTCTCCTGTTTGTTGAGCAAGACTTTGGTTCTCAACCCAACAACACTTTCATGCTGATAACTATATGATCAGTCACACGTCTTTCAGGCAACAATGGAGAGAATGCACCAGTATGAGTCAGTTTACTGCTGAATCTCGAGTGGTTAACATCTTAGGAAATTGTGCTGTGAATATTTTCATGTTTTTTTTTTTTTTTTGCTTTTGTTGCTGCTTATTATTATTATTATTAAATACATACAGTAAGTTACCATAGGTCCTAAGAAGGTTAGTAATAGCAGCAAAGTGAAAAGGGAAGTTGTGAGAACAATGATAGAGCTTCACAAAGAAATACTTGCGAAGTATTACAGAGGGTTTACGTGTCTGGTCTGGCTACTGAGGATGGCATGGAAAAATTGATTACTAGCCCAATTTTAAAATACAAAGAGGCCATCAAGAGTGCTGATGTTGCTAAAGGTGTGTAAGTGCTCACGAAACAATGATCACAGGCGATTGAGAAAGGTTAAAACGGAATCATTTGGGGGTCTGGAATGGATGAATTCAATTTACATTATTTCTAATGGGAAAAAATGATTCAGTTTTCAAACAGATTGCTTCTTGAACCGCCTTCTGGGACAAATTACTTTTGAGAACCAAGATTCCACTATATTTTTTGCCATTCCCTTCTGGCCTGCAAAGTTTCTTTTGAGAAATCAGCTGACAGTCTTATGGGAGCTTTCTGTAGGTAACTAACTGCTTTTCTTTTTCTGCTTTTAAAATTCTCTCTCTGTCTTTAACTTTTTGCATTTTAATTATGATGTGTCTTGGTGTGGGTCTCTTTGGGTTCATCTTGTTTGGGACTCTCTGTACTTCCTGGACTTGTATGTCTTTCCTTCAGGGAAGTTTTCTGTCATTATTTTTTCAAATAAGTTTTCAGTTTCTTCATCTGTCTCTTCTTCTGGCACCTCCATGATGAGAATGTTGGTATGCTTGAAGTTGTCCAAGAGGCTCCTTACTCTATCCTCAATTTTTGGATTCTTTTTTCTTTTTGCTGTTCTGATTGGGTGTTTTTTGCTTCCTTATTTTCCAAGTCGCTGATTTGATTCTTGGCTTCATCTATTGTACTGTTGATTCCCTGTAAATTATTCTTCATTTCTGACTGGTCCTTTTTTATGCTGTCGAGCTTCTCACTAAGTTCCTTGAGCATCACCAGTGTTTTGAACTCTGCATTTGTTAGATTGCTTATGTTCATTTTGTTTAGTTTTCTTCCTGGAGTTTTGTTCTGTTCTTTCAGTTGGGACATATTTCTTTGTCTCCTCATCTTGGCTGCCTTCCTGTGTTTGCTTCTATGTATTAGGTAGAGTTGTCATGTTTCCCAGGCTTGGTAGAGTGGCCTATTGTAGTTGGTGTCCTGTAGAGTCCAGTGGCACAGCCTCCCCAATCACCCAAGCTGGACACTCGAGGTGCACCCCCTGCCCCCATGTGGGCCGTGTACATCCTCCTCTTGTAATTTAGCCTTGGTTGCTGTTGGCACATCAAGGGGAGGGATTTACCCCTGGTCCAATCAGCTGCAAGGACTGGCTGTTGCAACCACCGACCTCTGACCACCGTGGAAGATCAGCTGTGCAGTGACCCGCCCTACAGAGCTGGACTTACTTTAGCAGGTCACTGATGCTCACAGAGTCCTCCACTTGACAGTGTCGCTTGTGGAGGTGGTTGGGTGGTGGTGATTTGATGTGATCTGAAGGTGTCCACTGGGTGTGCTGGCTCTAGGCCCTCCTCGGAGGTGCAGGCCAAGGTCAGCCACCACCTGTATTCTGCCCAGAACCACCTGGCATGAACTACAAAGCGATTTGCAGGTGGTTGCTACTTTTTCCGGGCTTGGAGGTGCCCAGGCAAGGCCAAGCTGAGAACCAGGGCTGCCTGCTGCCAGAGCTGGGCCTGGGGCCTCTTAGTGAGAGGCCAGATGCTGCTTGTCTGAAAGATTTTAGGAAAGTCTGAAGCATGAGCCAAGACAGGCCATACATATGGAAAAGACACTGGAAACAGCTTGGGTGGGCCTGAAAGTAGGGTGGGGGTGGGGCCTCAGGGAATCACTGGGGTGGGGCAAACAGTGTGAACCAGGTTGATTGAGTCTCAGATATGGCACCCACCTGCCATCTCTTTGTGGGGTTGGGCTCATCAAAGGAACAAGGCCTCTGCCAGTACTTCCGTCTGAGAGAAAACTGCCACCCCCAGCTCTTGCCCTAATGCTGGACAGTTCACTTCCTCCCCATACGTGTCTGGTGCCTTTTAAGCTGCTGCCCCAGCACTGAAGCTCAGAGGGAGTGAGCTCTCTCTCAGCCACAATTTCTGCTGGTTTTCATAGCCAGAAATTCTGGGCGCTTCTCTTCCTGCCACTTGAACCCTGGACTGGGGTGGAGGGCTGGTTTGGGGCTGGGATCCCTTGCTCCTCATTGGGGACCTCCACAGCTGAGATATCCCTCCCAATTTTTATCCACCACACATGGGTGTAGAACCAACCTGTTCCACATCTCCACCCCTCCTACCAGCCTCAGTGTGGCTTCTTTATTTTCCCAGTAGGACTTCAAATTCAGTCAGATTCCAGGCAGTTCTGAATGATGGTTATTCTGTAATTTAGTTGTAATTTTGATGTGGTTGTGGGAGGAGGCAAGTACTGTGTTTACCTAAGCTGCCATCTTGACTGGAAGTTCAACTGATTATTTAAATAAGTGAAAACAGTAATAACATACTCTTGGTTTAAAAAAGTATCATAGCCTGGCCGATAAGGCTCAGTGGATTGAGTGTGTCCCATAGACTGAGAAGTCCTGGTTCAATTCCTGGTCAGGGCACATTTCCGGGTTGTGGGCTCAATCCCCAGTGGGCAGTGTGCAGGAGGCAGCTGATCGATGTCTCTATCTCTTTCTCCCTCTCTCTAAAAAATATCAATACAAACATATTTTTAAAGAAAAGTATCATAGTACAAAAGGTAGCAAGATGAAAGGTGACCCCGACCCTCCTCGGCTTTCAACTCTGAAAGGCTCCCCATTGCCCACAGGAGGAAGGTCATACACTCTCCTGGTCCGCAGGGCCCTGTGCCATCTGGCTCCTGTTTCTGCTGAAGCCTTATTGGTCTTCCTGGCCCTTCTTCTTTCCCAGGCTCTTAGCTATCCATGCACCCCTGTAGTACTGGTTGGGGGGCTCTTCCCTGAGCTCTGTCGATCCCCCCCTTCTGATGGACTGATGGACCCTGTTCGTGGTAACGGCATCCTTGTAGTCTGGGCTGTGCGCCTCCTGTTGGCAACATGTAGGTGGGATAGCACATAGTCAGCATGGCTGCTCTCACGTCCCTCGTGGTGTGATGCAGGGGGCGCCAGCCTCCTCTCTGCTTCTGGGAGGAGGATGGTAGTGCCTGCCTTGGAGGGCTGTTGGCAGGGTTGATGAATTACTGTGTGGAGAACACTCGGAACAGGACCTCTCCTGTTGGAAGTGCTCAGTGTGAGCTTCTGTTTTTACCCCGAGCTGTTCTTCACGTTGCACTCACATGGCCCAGCACACTTGGGGCTGAGTGTCCAATAAATGTTTGGATGTCAATAATGGGAGGAAGGAAAGGAGATACACCTGACGTTTGTGAGGGCATTCGGGGACAGAAGCTTCCTGTGGGGAGCCGGGACAAGGTGGGGGAGCTGGGCTGTGACGTCGCATGCCGCGGGAGCTCAGCACAGCTCCTAGGCACATGAGCGTGTGTGAATTGCTGCCGGGGAGGTAACTGGGCAGCAGGTAGCTGTGGGAAAGCAGGCTGGGGCTGCGAGGGAAGACAGGAAGACCACCGCAGGCTCAGATATCATTCCCTGCGCCTTTCTACCTCACAGCCCCTTTGTCTCTCCGGACAGTCCAGGAAGAAGGAAGCCACGTTCACCAAAGAGGGCCAGGCCTTTGCCCATTTCTGGCTTTGCTGTCCTGTTCAGGTTGATGGATTGAAACAAGTGACACATGTTTGATGAAGCCCCTCCCCCCCTTTTGCCTGTTTATTTCCAGGCAATGCTCCAGTGGAGAAGTTGGAGGACTTCATCAACAATATTAACAGTGTCTTGGAGTCCTTATATATTGAGATAAAGAAAGGAGTCACCGAAGATGACGGGAGACCCATTTATGCGCTGGTAAGTGCCAGACAGAGCCCTCTAGAGGCGTTTGTGAGAAACTGGGACCGAGACAGCTGCCTAGAGCTGTCATTGGGAAGAACAAGGGTGACCTACCTCAAGGTGGGAGACAGACACTGAGGCCTGCTGCCTCCCCGAGCAGCCCACCCTCTGTGCCCCCAGGCTTCTGTGGTCTGCAGTCTCTGCAGTACCCCTGCGCCCCCAGGGCGCACTCTGCCCTGTGCTAGCCTCACTGCCCCAGGCACCGCAGCAGCCTTTGACTTTTGTGGTTGACAGTTTTCCGCAAGAAGTCACCCAAATGTGTGGACTCTTAGCATTAAAGAAATAACATGCTTTTCATTTGGAACAAGACAAAGAAGCTGTGAAAAGAAGAGGGGTGAGGGCACAAAGGACTGCCATCCACCTGGGGCCTCCTGTTTTCAGATCTTCCCTCAGCGAGGGGCCCAGGTGAAACAGGTGGGGGAGCTGACAGGCCCATGTCTTCGGCGGGGGAACTGCCTTAGACCAGTCAAGGAGATCAGGCTCCTACCAGCCAGGCCCGCAGACAGGGAGGGACTGCGCGCAGGGTTCCCAAACCCCGACCGGGGAAAAAAGGGTTGTGGAGTCAGATATGCTGGTTTAAACACGCCTGTCAGATTTCTTCACTGCCTTTCGCAGTGCTGTGTGCATTTGAAGCTCCATTAGCAAAATTTTCCAAATTTATCTGAGTTTGGAAAATATTGTACAACTTTTAGAGCTCTCAAATCTCTAAGAATTAGACATGTTGGTGGAGCTAAAGACTTATGTCTGTCATATAAGACGGTCATAAAAATTCATCCCTGTGGTCCACAGTGCCTGGACATAGATGCTCAGTGACTGGCCAGGGGGCTGAAGAGGGAGGGAGAGCCAACAAGTGAAGGGCACAGCCTGACCATCATCCTGACTTATTTTTTAGGTGAATCTTGCAACAACTCCAATCTCCAAAATGGCCTCAGATTTTGCAGAGAATGAACTGGATCTGTTTAGAAAGGCTGTAAGTAATAGTAATGCCCATCAGCCGAGCTTCTTGTGGGACACTTCTGTCTTCATTAGAAATGGAAACTGCAGTCTTCAAGGGTCACCACCATTGCTGCCAAAGAGAGCCCTTTGCAGGGGCATGTCAGTGAGCGCCTCACCCAGAATTTACAGCTGCCCTGTGATGGATGGGGAGGTCGCTGAGGCTGCCTGGGAAGGAAGGGCTGGCCCAGGTTTGACCCCTGACTGAGTATCGGGCCTCATGGGTATGTGATGCAATTGAACAAGCATTACTGCAGGGTACTGGCCATGTGGTTGGGACCCGCGGTGATATCATCACCTGGGAGCTTGCTAGAAGGCCTCATCCCATCCTCACCCACACCCTTGAATCTGAGTGGGTTTTAACAAGGTGCCCACTGATCCATTGGCGCATTTACACTTGAGGGACACTGCTCTGTCTACCTTGCTCCAGAGCTGTGTACTTAGTCCTGTTTTCATTTACCTGGTGAAGTACCTGGGTAAGAAATGGCTCTCAGGCCTGGATGCACATCACAGTACCTGGGCAGGTAAAAATAATTCCGACGTTTGGCCTCACAACAGGTCTGTCGAATCCAGATCTCTGAGGACAGAGTCCTAGAATCATTCCTTTCTAAGCCTCTGGGGAGAATTAACAGTCAGGCTTGAGAACCAGGCCCTGAAACATCCAACACACCTTGTGTGTGCAGGAAACCTGTGTTTTCCTGGTCGTGCTGTCCTGTTTAGGGCCGCTTGCCTGTCAGCCTCTCCTGGCCTGGATCCACAGGTTTCTGTGGCTCCCAAGCTTGCTTGCTTCCCTGCCCTTCCCGGCTCCAGCCTGCCAGTCAGGCCAGCCGTAATGGCTTGTTCACCTTTGAGTTGTAGGGGTGCCGCTTCATTTATTCTTTTTTTTTTTATTTTATTTTATTTTATTTTTTTATCCTCACCCAAGGATATTTTTCCATTTTTTGTACAGATAGAGTGGGAAGGAGAGAGAGGGAGGAGAGAGAGAGAGAAACATCGACGTGAAGGGACACATCGAGTGGCTGCCACCCGCATGACCAACCAGGGCCGGGGACAAACTGCACCCGAAGTACGTGCCCTTAGCGGGAACCGAACCCGGGTCTCTCCGGACCGCAGGCTGACGCTCTAACCGCTGAGCCAAACTGGCCAGGGCTCATTTATTCTTTTATTCATTTCTCAGCTTCTCCATCTTTAGGGAGGTAGAGATATGAGAGGTGAGGTGACCCCCCACCCCCTTGATTGGGAGCATTGGGAGCATTTATTTGGGATGATGTTACAAGAGTAACTGTTGAGTTAGAAGGAGTGAACATGTTTATGGGTTTTTAAAAAAACTGATCTTAGAGGACGGAAAGGAAAGAGAAGCATTGATGAGAGAGCATGCACCCCAATCGGGCACCCCAATCGGGGATCGATTCCAAAACCCTGGTATGTGCCCTGACCGGGAATCGAGCAGCCACCCTTCAGTGCACAGGACGATGCTCAACCAACTGAGCCACCCGGCCAGGGCAGTGGATGGCTCTGGATGCATGTGATTAGGCTTTTCCTGAAGGGTCATGTCGTGTACAGTTCTGCCTGTGATATGAGACGTTTTCTCGCCTTCCCACCAGGACTGGTGTTACTGCTTAAAACCTGTTTGCCAGTTTAATAGATGAACGTGATACCTGCTGTTTCTTCCAGCTGGAACTGATTATTGACTCAGAAACTGGCTTTGCCTCTTCCACAAATATTTTGAACATGGTTGATCAACTTAAAGGCAAGAAAATGCGGAAGAAGGAAGCTGAGCAGGTGCTGCAGAAGTTCGTGCAGAGCAGATGGCTGACTGAGGTATTGCCCCGAGCTTTCCCGAGCAGACGGCCCACCGAGGCGCTGCCCCGAGCTTTCCCGAGCAGACGGCCCACCGAGGCGCTGCCCCGAGCTTTCCCGAGCAGAGGGCCCACCGAGGCGCTGCCCCGAGCTTTCCCGAGCAGACGGCCCACCGAGGCGCTGCCCCGAGCTTTCCCAAGCAGACGGCCAACCGAGGCGCTGCCCCGAGCTTTCCCGAGCAGACGGCCGACCGAGGGGCTCCCCCGAGCTTTCCCGAGCAGACGGCCGACCGAGGCGCTGCCCCGAGCTTTCCCGAGCAGACGGCCGACCGAGGGGCTCCCCCGAGCTTTCCCGAGCAGACGGCCGACCGAGGTGCTGCCCCGAGCTTTCCCGAGCAGAGGGCCCACCGAGGTGCTGCCCCGAGCTTTCCCGAGCAGACGGCCGACCGAGGTGCTGCCCCGAGCTTTCCCGAGCAGAGGGCCCACCGAGGTGCTGCCCCGAGCTTTCCCAGCCAGCTCGGCCTGCTCTTCAGAATTGATAATTGTTTTGTTTCAGAGCCGTGTTGTAGCCAACTGAAGTCCATTGAGCTTTTCAGGTCCCTTATCTGCTTTGATGCCGACAGTGACCCTGTGAGCGGGATTTAGAGCTTCCTGGTCACTCATGTGATCTGTGCAGGGGCTACAGCCAATGGCAGAGCCAGGAGTTGTGCCCGGTTTGGAGGCTCCAGGATTTGAGCCCTGGTCCCTAGACTGTGAGGCAGTGTTGTACAGTGGTTAAGAGCACAGGAGTAGCATCAGACACAGGCCTGAATCATGGTCCAGGTGACTCTGTGTTCTGCGTCTGTAAGAGGGAAGTAGCAGGACCCATCTCGGGCGTGAAGGACGGGATGAGTGGTGTGTGTCAGGTGCCTGGAGATTGGCTCCCAGAGGAATTGCCTTCATTGTCATGTAATCACTGTCATGATGAGGACACGTAGACCAGCTTTTGGAGAGGAGTGTGGAAATCTGTGGAAGGACCAGACTGCAGGCTCAAGTTTCAAGACACCCCCTGTCTGGTTCTGCTGATTGGAGCAGGGCAGACGTTTCTTTTTCTTTTTTATCCTCATCCGAGGACATTTTTCCATTTTTTGTTCAGACAGAGTGGGAGGGAGAGAGAGGAAGAGAGGGAGAGAGAGAAACATCGGCGTGAAAGGGACACATCGAGTGGTTGCCACCCACACGACCAACCAGGGCCGGGGACAAACTGCAACCGAGGTACATGCCCTTAGCGGGAACCGAACCCGGGTCTCTCAGGATCCCAGGCCGACGCTCTAACCGCTGAGCCAAACCGGCCAGGGCAGACGTTTCTGTTCTTCTCCCACAAAAGGCACCCGTGTTTTCAAGGAACCTGAGCTAGGCAGGCTCCGCTCTTGCCCAGTTTGCCACAGCACCACCCCTCTGAGTGCCCGTGTCTGTGCAGGACTCAGCTCGGCCCTCAGCTTCCCCATCGGTGGGCAGACGGGCCCGAGTCTGTGGCGTACGGCTGGCACGATTCTTCGCTTCCTTTTCAGGGAGAGCCTCTGGTGGTCACAGTGACAGTGTTCAGTTACTGATCTCTAAGGGGATGGCTGTCCCTGGCAGTCTGACTGCAAATGGTCAGCTCCCGAGGTGCTTTCCCGATGGAGGAAGGTGGCTGGAGAGGTCATGGGGTGGCAGGAGTTCCCAGTGAGTGCCAGGGTCTCTGGGCACATGGTGTACATCATCCTCGGGTCCTCCTGGCCATCCTGTGATGACCAAGAATCCCTTAGCTCTGTTTTTTAGCTGGACAAGCCTCAGCTCCGTGGTCTGGTTGATGTCCCACACCCAGCAAGTGGCAGAGTCCTATTTAGGCTCCAGCTCAGGTGACTGCAGCTCCCCATCAGTTGCTTTGTCACAGTGTTTCTTCCTCTCTGGGTGGATTCGGCAATGTAGACCATCCTCGGGCTGCTATGATTGACCTCACTCTGTCCTCGGGCCAGGCTCTTCAAGGCAGTGGCTACAACGTCCTCACATTCTACCTTGTCACACGTGTGGGCACTCGGGAAATGCTGATAGGTGACTTGGCAAGATGGGTGCAGCTTCAGAGGGACAGAATTTATCGAAAACTTATAAAGAATGATACCAGAAATTCCGATATTCATAAAGAAACACATCGAAGTCATCCGTTACCTCACCTACGAGAGCGAACCACTGCACACCCAGCACGCCCTCCGCAGCCGGCCTGGGCTCGGGAGTTAGCACGCTGCGGTTCCAGGCCTGTGTGTCCACGTGACCGCTGGGCTCACCCTGGACTCCAGCCCTTTGTGCTCAGAGAGGCCGGGCAGCAGGAAAGAACATGCCCCTGGGGTCTGTTGGACTTGAGTTTCGGGTCCAGGCTCCTGTCTTGTCTATTTCTTCCTCAGTGAAATGAAGACGCTGGGGCTGCCCTTCTCAGGGGCGGCTCTGAGCTCCGGTGAGATGGGGGTCTGAGGCTCTGTGAGCCAGAAAGGAGGGCGTGCTGCAGAAATGAGGTGCACCTCTTGCAGCCCTCAGGTCGGTGGGAGTCCTCTTGTTGACTGGCACTCACCCTCAGGGGACAGGAGGAAGGAACCAACCCGTGGGGCGGTGTAGACTCCTCCAGTTTCCTCTGGCGGGTGGCTTCTCGCCTCAGCTTGTTCCCCATCTGAAGACTGGATGTTGATTGCTGTCAGGTGTTTTTCCGTGAGGGTTGAATGCTTTCTGAACTGGTTGGTGTGGTGAGAGTTGCCATGAGTTCTGTGACATTTTGGAGGAGTAGCTGGGGGCCTGTGTGGTGAGTGCTGGCTGGTCACCTGACCAGCCTTTCTGGGGGCACCACCGTGATCCTCAGCCTCAGAAATGGGATCTTACACAGACTCATACTTGTGGGCACATTGCCCCCTTGGTACTTCATTCATCATGATGGGAGACTCTAGTGCCTGGGGCCCTGCTCCTGTGCCCCGTGCAGCACTCCATCGGGCACAAGGTGCAGTGTGGCTGTGCAGCCTGTCGGAGGCCCTGAGTGGGGTGGTCAGATGCAAGGTCTCGCTGCAGGGCCTGGGGTCATGCCGCCTGGCCCTGCCTGTGACGCGCCCGCAGGACTGAGTAGGATCAGGAATGGTAAGCACCGGGCACTGTTTCAGGCACATGTGGCTCAAGCCTGACTCTGAACTGGAACAGGTCTACTTAGTCTCCCTAGATGTTGTCGTGGGTTGAGTGCTGGGACACGGGAGAGCAAAGCCAGACAAGCTCATTGCTCTCAGACGCTCAGGGTTGGGGTGGTGGCGGTGAGGGGTGGGGGTGGGGGACCAGAAATTAATCAGATATCTCTCTGAAGTGCTTACAGATAGAAAGCACATGGTTTTATTATAACTAACGAAGGAGCCTGACCTCAACAGGACTGAGCTGAGCTGAAGGCTGTGTGGGAGGCAGCCGGCACTGGGGCAGGGAAGGTTCTCCAGGGCTGACGGAGCAGCCTCTGCTAAAGCCCTGTGCCCCTAAGGGCCGTGGTGCTCAAGGAGCTGAGGCCAGAGCGTGCTGAGCACAGGACTGAGGAGGACCGTGGGACACGGTGAGCCTGCGTGATGGGCACAGGTCATTGGTTCTTCAGCCTAAGAATAGGGGCAGCCCTGAAGGGCTGAGGCAGGGGGACAAGGTAGTTTGCCCTGCAGAGATCAGCTTTCTGGAGAGGGTGACAGAGGGGCAGGAGTGGGTTGAGTGCAATTAGGAGGTGAAGGTGGATGGTAGTAGCTGTGGACATGGACACCATATGGATTTGGGAGCTTCTCTGAAGAAAGTAGCCACAGGACTGTGGCCACACACCTGAGAGGCACAGTGCCCCTGCCCACTCTGGCTGGACCCACAGCCTGCTGTCCCCGCCCTGCTCCCTGCCACCAGCTCTCCGGCTCCGACGCTCTGCACCCGTGTGCTCTCTCTCTCTGGGTGGTCGCCTGGGCCTGTTGTTGGTGGCCCGGAGTGGAGTAAATGCACTTCCTGGGCTTGGTCACACAAGCATACCATTTCCTCGGCACTCAGCGTGGGGGTGGAGGCAGGAACCAGGGTGGGTGGTGTTCAATGTCAGACATAGGAGAAATTGCTCTTGCTTGCTATGGAAATTAGATAGAAAGTAACAGAAGCATGTGGGGTGACATGGGCAGCTTCAGTCTTCAGTGGCATCTCCTGGCAAGACACCTCCCTCTCCCATCAGGGAAGAGGCTCAGACGTAACAAAAATGGTTAACAGATTCACATCTCAGTTCACTGGTTGACTTTGGGAATCAAAAGAAACTTAAGGGGCTTTGGTGACACTTGCCTCTGAGCTGGCTCTCCCTCAGCCAGCCTCTTTCCTGTAACTTGGTGACGGGCCAGCTGAGCTGTCTTTCCTTGGGTTTTCCCACACTTCCTGGCTTTCCCAGGGATTGTAGGTCACATGGCGTCTGGACCATTTTCAGACCTGGGAACTTGGAGGCCTCACCACCAGTGCCGCCACAGTGTAACTTAGGGCCTGTCCCTGCCCTGTCTGGACGGTTTCCAGCTTTGTCTGTACAGTGACGTGGCCGGAAGTGATCTTGGATGGTCCCTGTGGAGGCTCCAGGCAGCAGTTCTGGGAGGCATCTGATACGATTTCTGGGAGTAGGGCGGGTTGTCTTGAGTTCAGCCCGTGGAGAGGCTGCCTCCCTTCCTGCCTCAGTGTCCTCGTGCAGGTGGGCCGTGACGGTGCGCACACGGGCTGCTGTGCAGGTGCGCGGCTCGTGTCTGTGAAGGCGCAGTGAGGCGCTAAGAAAATGGGGTGGGGGTACTCGATTTCCTGTCAGGTCTTTGCCTAAGCTCCTGCTTGAGGCTCTGCCAAGGGGCCAGCGTGGCCACCTGTTGGCCAGGGTTGGTGAAAACCTGCAGTGGTGAGGGGCCTTGGGCTGTGGACTGCAGAGGGAACAGGATGTCTAGCAGGAAAGGACTTGAGCGATTATCCCCCGCTGTGTCCCCACAGAAGGAAGGAGAGTTCACCCTGCACACCCGGGCCATCCTGGAGATGGAGCAGCACATCCGGGAGACGTACCCCGACGCCGTGAAGATGTGCAACATCTGCCACAGCCTCCTCATCCAGGTACCGCTGCGGGCTCCCTGCGGCACGCTGGCTGCCGGGCCTGTGGCATCTCGTAGAACGCTGGGCCCAGGCTTCTGGCATTGCTGTCGCCTCCTCCCCGTGAGCAGGAGGGCCTCTCCTCAGACGTGTCCCGGGCGACCACGTGAATGCACCTCCTGTCCCCCCCGGCCCTCTGCTGTAGTCCCGGGGCTCTTGGCTAGTTTCCGCAGGAGACTGCAGACGCCGGCCGCGCACCTGCCATCTTGGCAGCTGTGACCGTCCTTCCGTGGGCACCGCTGCTTTTCTGAGTCCATGGTTTTACACTGTGGACTTCGTAGGGCTTCACAGCCATTGAACTAGTGTAGACGTTGGGGTTCCTTCTCTTTAACTTTCATCTGTGTGCAGTGGTGACTACACTCTGATGGCCCCCTCGCACCTGCTCCCTTGGGTGCCTGGGGATTGCTTCCTTTGGCTGAATTCCTGGAAGTGGAATTTCTGGGGCAGAGAGTATGTGTGTGTGTTTTTTAAAGCATTTGAGATAACATTGCCAATGCCTTCTGAAAAGTTCTAGCTCTCCTCATGCCCACTGGGCGAGGAGCCGAGTTCAGGCCTTGCTGCTGTGCGGGGCCTGGCCAGCGCCACTGCCTTCTCTGGCCTGGAGACTCGAGCTTCTTCGTGGGAATTCTGTCAGACACCCCACTGCACTAAGGACTTATGGGTGGTTGTCAGTATTCATCTGGGGCTCGGAAGACAAACATACCTGGCCTGCTGGACAAGTCCCCGGGAGTCGGGAGCAAGGAGGTGTGTGCAGGGCTCCGCAGCTTTGCCTTCTCTTTCAGGGCCAAAGCTGCGAGACCTGTGGGATCAGGATGCACTCACCCTGTGTGGCCAAGTATTTCAAGTCAAATGCGGAGCCGCGCTGCCCCAACTGTAACGACTACTGGCCCCACGACATACCAGGTTGGTGTCCCTGAGGGGCTCGCGGGCTCCCCTGGCCTGTGGGGGGGCCGGGCTGGGAGGAATGGCACCGGCACTGAGGCAGCCCTGGGAGGGGGCCGGGCGGCGTCTGCATGAGCAGAGCCTGGGGTCAGTGGCTTCTCGGTCAGTGAAGGCTGCCTTGTTTGCATAGTTCAGAGGGCTCACTAGAACCCAGTGGAAATTCCAAGGCATGTGCAGCCTGGTCTGGGCAAGGCTCTCTCCCCAGAAGCTCTCCGGAGGGGACATGGGGGCAGCGTCCACAGCTCCCTCGAGGCTGTGCATCTGTCCTCGCAGCTGGGGAGGGGTGAGCAGTGAGCAGTTAGAGCAAGGCCCTGGCACGCCAGGTGCAGCTGTGAGCGGAGCTTCGTCGGGGTGCGGCCGGCCCTGCCACTCAGGCTCCCCCTGGTGTTTCTGTGTAGAAGTCTTCGACCCTGACAAGGACAGGGAGGCTGGACTCTCCAAGTCGAACAGAAAGTCCTTGCGATCCAGGCAGCACTAGCTGCGGTGCTGCGCAGGCTGTTCGGAAGAGGCGGCAGTGTTTCACGTTTCGTACGTCACCTCTTGCTGTATTTCACTTATTAGCAGGTTTGAAATAAAACTTACTGAGGAGTCGCTGCAGCCTCGGTCTGTGTTGTGCGCCCGTCCGGGAGGTTTTGCGTCCTGGCCGCTCCCTGCTTCCTGGAGCTCACTGATAACGGGCCCAGGGTGGGGTCCCAGCAGGTGAAGGTGCCAGGCTCCTGCACAGCACAGCCCAGGGTGGCCTTGCCATCAACCTCCGGCTTCGGTTACTTATCCCAGCAACACTGGCCAGCCCGACCTGGACTTGTGCGAGCCGTGGCCTTGACCTCCCCGTAGGATGGACTCTCCGCTGGCCCGTGATGCAGCTGGCCGAGTGGGGGTGCGGCGGGCAGGCGGGGCTGAAGGTGTGCTCTCCTCACTGGGCCTTTCTGCCCTGGCTGTGACTGGCAGCTGGGGGTTGGCCTCTTGCATCAGACCTGTCACCATACCTGTAGGCCCATCTGCCAGATGGCCCGCAGCCCACCACAGCTGCCTTGGGTCAGGTTCTTCCCCTGACCTCCCCTCTGCACCAGCTGCTCACTGCCCCTGGCACCACGCTGCCCACTGCTCCATCTTTGCTACCACAGTGACCGTCCCACGATGCCAGTCAGCCTTGTGTGCCTCTGCTAAAGACCCCAGTGACTCCGCCGACAAGGACTCGGGTCCAGGCACACAGGGTTCATGAGGCCAGGTACTGAGGTCCCTGCACACCTCATGGCCTTTCCCGTCCCCACTGTGCAGCAGGACAGCGTTTCTCCCACTTCCTGAGTGAGATCCTGCTCCCCCTGAGCCTTCGCACCTGTCCCCTCCGCCCATGTCCTGCCGGTGCCTGCTGATACCTTCCCACCCTTTAGGTCTTGGCGGGGCTGTCCCCCTCCAGCTCCCAGTCTCCCATCTCTGCGTTCCTGAGTCATCACACTGCTACACTGTTTTAATTCCTTGTCTCTCTCCCCCAGGACCGAATTAGTTACGGCAGAAAACGCAGCTCAGACTGGCTTAAACAAGGAAGGACTTGTCTAGAGGGGCCCTTCAGGAGGGGTTTCACCTGGTGGTTCCAGTGTCACCAAACATCCAGACTCTGTCTCTGCGGTGTTGTCATTGAGCTGGCTCAAGCCGGGACCTACAAGATGGTCTAGAAAATCCATCTCCTTCCCCTGGTAGCAAAATGGCTACAGTGCTTCCAGCCTCACACGCCCCGCCCAGTGCCAGGGGAAGAGGGTGGGTCTCAGTGCCCCCACCTCGGCAAACACCCTCATGGCTTCCAGCTCCAGTCTGGGCTTGCAGAGGCGGGGGCACGCCCTGGGGAAGGCAGCCCCCCCAAACCACAGGCTGAGAGCGAGGAGGGGGTAACTGAACAAACTGAAGATGCTGTTGCCAGGCAGAGAGTGAATGAACTGGGCACTAGTGGTGGGGAGGCCTCCCTCTGTGAAGGCGGGGATGCTCTGCCTGGTCACCCCCCAAACCCAGTGTGGAGCAGGCATCTAGGACATGGAGAACAGATGACACCTGCTGGTGGGAGGCTCACCTTGCCGGCTGCAGTCCTGCGTCTGAAGCCCTCACGCCAACCTCCCGGGCAGTGAGAAGGCGGGAGCCTCTGAGCGGCCTGGGGTCCTGCCCAGCACTCTGAGAGCACATGCCAGCTCATGGCAAAGGCCTGTGGGTGCCCACGACAGTGGCGGGTTCAGTCATGTGTCAGGCAGGGAACAGGTGCCATCCCAGTCGTCTGAAGAAGGATCTTTTGGGAGGGACAGGAGGCCTGCAGAGGTGGAGGGAAAGCACAAGAACCAGTCAGAAACGACTGGGTAAGACCCACGCCTCAGTCACGGCACTGCCGCCACCATCCACGAACCCCAGCTGCTCATTCATCCTCCCAAGGCCCTCGGGATGCAGTCCAGGGGCTGCCCCTGGTTCACGCTCCCTCCAGGACTGCTAGGCTGCTGTCCGGCAGAAAGGTCCGACTCCCAAATGCAGTCCACGAAGAAGGGGCTAAGAGCAAAGCAACGCCCAGACCAGGGGCAGGGCAGCTCTGTTTGTCCTGGCAGGTGGTCTTACCGGTCAAGGGGAGGCGGGGTCTTCCCTGCAGGTGCAGCTGAGTCCTGACTGACCTGGGGAGCTCTGCGCACCTTGATGCTGGGGACACTGGCCCTCCAGTTCCCAGTCTCCCCTGTGCTGATACCGACCTGCACTTCCTGAGGACTGCGTGGCCGGCTCACCCAAAACCCTTACACACAATCCCCTCGTCCTTGCCTGCACTCAAGGCTGCTGTGAGGGCGCTGCCCGCTCCCTGTGCAGCCTGTGCTCCACGGCCCTGCCGCACTGACGCCCCGACAGTGCTCAGGAGGCCCTGGCTGCGCCGTGACACTGGCCACTCTGGATTTCCTGTCTCCCCCTCAGGCCGTCCTCACGGCAGCATGCAGACCACGCATCTCCCTGGCTTAGCAGCCCTGTCCTCCCCACTGCTGACAGTCCGGCCCTTGCCCGCCGGCCCCTGCTCCTCCCACTCTTCCTGCTCCGGCTGCTCGCCCAAGGCCAAGGCTTTCCTGCCTCGGGACTGCTGCTCCTGCGCGAGAGCTCTTGCCTCAACTCTCATGGCCAATTCTGCATCCTGGTCATTCAGACTTCTGTGCCAATGTCAATCATCAAAAAGCCATGTCCTCACTCACCCCTCCCCCATCGTCACTTTTTAACTTGTGACCCTGTTCTGTCGTCTTCATTGCACTCATCACTCTGCAGTGTCCTACTGTTGATCTCCTCACGGGGTCCCCAAGGCAGTGAAATGCCATGGGGACAGGGCCTCGTCGGGCTCAGCCCACACCTGGCGGTGGCATGGGGTTCTGGTGCCAGCACCTGCCTGGGCTCTGGGCACAGCTGTTGGTGCTCTTTCCCAAGCTGATCTGTCCACTCCTCAGAGTGAAGCCAGGGCTCTAGCTGGGTTACGAGCAACACTGGGGCCTTGCCCAGAGGGCACATAAAAGCTCATCTGTCTTCCATTTGACAAGGGGTTTACTTGAGGTAGCCAGGCCTCCGTGCCATGTTTTAATGAACTGCTCTAGTCCCCGACTTTGGAATCACGGCACATGCCGGACGAGCCCTGTTCTTCCATAGCGGCTGAGCAGGAGCCGGGCAGCTGGGAAGGCCGGGCCCGCGGGGCCCCTTGGAGCCGCCGTGCCGTGTGAGCACGGGAGGCATTGCTGGTGTGTGCCTCACTGCTGCAGTGCTGTTGCTGCTTGGGGGAAATTCTGTGAAAACTGGGTGGGTAGTTGTTAATGGTGCCAGATGGGACCCTCCACGCCATGTTCAAGCAGCTCCGGTGTTTGCCCGGCCTCTGCACACAGCTCGCCCCACCGCCTCCCTGCCACCAGCCGGCTTTCCTGCGGATGTTCCGAGTCTCTGCTCAGTTCTCTGAAGTCCCAAGACCTTTGTGACCAAGTTCAAATCCTTGGCCTGGTTACAGCTTCCACCGTTTCCATCTCCCCTTCTCCTAGTTACCAGGGTGGCCTGGGTTTCTGAGCCTGCAGGTCGCCCTGGTGCTGCAGGATGCGGAGCTGACCAGCTGGGGTCACCTCCCCTGGGGACAAGGCCTACCTGCAAGAGGAGAAAGACTGAAACCAGGGCCAGACCAGCAGGGGTGGAAGGGCCGGAGAGAAGCCTGGCGGCCGGGCCCGAGCCTGGGCTTCCTCGTCCAGCACCTTGGTGTCACAGAGCCAGCACGTACTGTTTCTGCGGAGACTGCTCGGAGCTGGGTTTCTGTCACAACCAAGGGGGCCAGCCCACCTGGCATTCAGAGCCTGCACTGACTGGACCCTTGATACACCCTAACTTTATCCCGTACCACGGCCCTCACCCCGTCCTGGCCTCTTGCAGTCTCAGACGCACTGAGCTGCCTTCTGCGTCCTTTTACACTCCCCTCGGGCCTTGACGTCCCTGCTCCATCTTCCCCTCCTGGGACCGCCTCTCATGGCCCACCAGCCTCCAGCACCGAGACTACTGTCAACGTGCAGGACCCCACCACAGTCCTGTGGGACTGAGCCCTTACGCTCGGATCTGACACACTACAGGGAGACAGTGTCAGAACTGAAGTACACGATAGGACACCCAGCTCGTGTTGCACAACTGCTTGGTGCGCCCCCACCCCGCAGTCTGGTGACCAGTGTCAGTAGTCCAGGAGCCTCGGTAGTGAAAAGGAAAACAACGGAGTGTTTCCTCAGCACCTGCTACTGCGAAGGATGCCACGGGCTCCGAGTGCAGGCGTCGCTGCCACGTGAGGCCGGGTTTCTGCTGAGACGCTGGCGAGCGAAATCGCCAGCAGGACATCTTACCCCCTCAACACTGAGTTTTAAACATGTTGTTAACATTTCGTTGGTACCTTTGTTTTAACTACATATTCTTGAGTATTGTATTGTTTTTAAGGTTTATGAAAGGTTCTTTCGTGACTGGTCTGGAACAGACCGCTGTGTACCTCACGGTCAGTGTGTGACACATATCAAGTCCAGACCATACTGCACAAACGTCACCAACGGGAGAGCGTCTCCGCAAGCAGGCCCTGGACGCTTCTGGTGTCAGTGGCTGGATTGGCCGGCCTGTCTTCAGCCACAGGGCTGGGGAAAGTCTTAATGACCAAAGACCAACAACAAACCACATTTTATACAAACCAACCCACATGCTTTATACAAAAGAAACAAATAGAAGCCTGGTGTCTGGGCTCCCCCAGAGCAGAGTGACCTGGGAGGGCGGGGCCGGCAGGGGCAGGAGGGCTTCCAGGAGCTGGCCAGGGCTCTTTCTGGCGTTGGGAACAGCCTGGGAGGGTGCGCAGGTGACGTGTCAAGCTGAGAAGACCCGTGCGCTCTGTGAAGGCAGGTCACACTCAGCAAGGGCAGCGCAGAAACTGGCTCGGCTGGAGCACCGTCCTGAGACGCCGAGATTGCGGGGTCGCTCCCCGGTTGGGACATTCAAGAATCAATCAATGAATGCATGAATGACACATCGATGTCTCTCCCCCTTCCTCTCCCTAAAATCAACAAAAAAAGAAAAAGAAACAAACAGAAACATCCCAGACTTCCCACTGCCCAGCAGAGGTCTGAGCTCTAGCTCATGCCCACCTCTCTCCAGAGCCCGCAGGCTCCAAGTCTGCCCAGAGGTGTCTGGAGAGGCCCCATCACGACAAACATAATGGCTATTGAGGTTAGCGACAGCTGGCCTGGCTCGTGTGGCTGTTGGCTGAGCGCCATCCTACGCACGGCAACGTTGCCATTTCAGTTCCTGGTCGGGGCACATGTGGAAGGCAACTGACTGATGTTCCCTCTCACACGATGTCTCTCCCTCTTGCCAAGTATGTTCCTGGGCGAGGAGTAAGAAAAGATTATCCACAGCTACTGCTGGCGGAGCATCAGGGCTCTGCCCACGCTGCACCTCAGACCCTCTGTGAGGAGGACCAGTGCTCCATTTTACAGGTGGGGACACACGTGCCCCAAATCACACAGCAGTTAAGCAGTGGGGCAGGGTTTAGACCCAGGCAGCCAACCTCAGAGCCCAGGCTCCGCCAGGGCACACACTGCCTGCCCGTTTCCCAAACACTTCAGGCCTCACGGTGTCCTCGACTCGCAGTGGGGCCTGGAATGGCCTCTGGGCTCTGGCCGGCCTGGCCCGGGCGCACCTCTGCCGGCCCCGTGCTGGAGCTGGGCCCCCGTGAAGGCTGCAGGGCCCAGCAGCAGGGGGCCCAGAGCAGGCCCACGTCCTGCCCTGGCTATGACCACCAGAAGCTGACGGAGAAGCTCAGGTCCAGGGCCCGCACGTAATGCCAGTGTTTCACCGGGATGAACAGGAGCTCTCCAGGGGACAGGACGCAGGACAGGAACGGGGCCTCGGCAAACTTGGGGAACCTCTCCAAGTCGGGATTCTCCACGTCAACCTGAACAAAGCAAAAAGTCACATGCCTCGTCTGCAGAGACAGGGTGGGGTGAGGAGGGGCTGCGGCACCACACCGGGTCCCACCTGGCTTGTGTTGTGAAGCAGGTGTGTGCCATGAGGGTACAGAGCCTCTGACTCCTGGGGGTGGTACAGCCGGATATATTTCCTCCCGAGCACCTGGAAGAGAGCGGCCGGTCAGTCGGCTGCTGACCTGCCTCCCGCTGCTGCCCCGCACTGACTGCAGGTCCTTGAACCCGCACCCCCCTGCCTCTGTGCCTGTCTACACACTGCCCCGCCCCAGCCAGCCAGCCCCGTGTGCCCAGGCCATGTTTCCCTCCAGATCTCTGAACCAGTAAGCTGGTCACTGTGGCCAACGGCTCAGCCTTGCTGTGACAGCCGCCGTCCCAGTGCTTTACACGGGCCAGCTCCGACCCTCACCGCGACGGGTGGCTCTCGCCCCCCTACAGAGGACACGGGTGCAGAGCTCACGGCCAGCCGCCTGGGAGCACGGTCTCCTCTCTGCTTAGGAGACACTCAGGCGCTTGCAGGCTGCCCTCCCTGTGCCCTCTTCTGGGTCTCAGGGAAACCATCCGGGGCTGCGGAGCTGCTCCTTTTTGCAGAGAGGGTTTTGGTGGGGAGAAGCCGGCCAAGCCAGACGGGGGCAGGAGGGGAGAGGCAGCCATGAGGTGCTCGCTGCGTCCGTCCGAGGGCCTGGGGCGGCGCTGGCCCTGCTCCGTGGGAGCGAGGTGCTGGGGCCCGCGGATGAGCCCGTCGTCAGGAGGCACACTGAGAAGAGCCGACACGGCCCAGGCCGGGTACCGCTGCCGTCTGCTTGTGCCCACAGCCTGTCAGTGGTCCGTCTCTCTGCTGTGTAAAGGGGGTGCATGTGGTGGGCCAGGGCTGGCCAGGAGGGGAGAAGGCTGGGGCCTGGAGTGACTCCCACCTGGGCCAGGAAGTTCTGCTGGGGATCCTGATGAAGGGGGGACACGGTGCCTGGAGGCCCAAACCAGGCGTTGATGGTGATCTCCTCTTCCTCCCCGTCGCCCAGGCAACAGTAATCAGGGATGCTGATGTCTTGCTTCAGCTCTGGGATCTGTGGGTGTCAGAGCAGACATGGAAGGTTGAGACCAGCCTGTGGGACACACCAGCCCAGAAGTCAAATAAATGCCTAGCTGACAGAGGGCCAAATACACTGTCCTCTCGTGTACTGACACGGCCACGCCCACATTTTGCCATATAGGAATTATTTTTTGTTAATCCTCACCTGAGGATCTTTTCCCATTGATTTTTAGAGAGTGAAAGGGAGGGGAGGGGGGAGGAAGAGGGAGGGGGGAGAGAGAGAGAGAGGGGAACATCGATGTGAGACAGACACATCCACTGGCTGCCTCTTGTATGAACCCCATCCAGGGCCGAGGATTGAACCTGCAACCCAGGTACATGCACTTGACCAGGAATTAAACCTGTGAGCCTTTGGTCTGTGGGACAACACTCGAACCGCTGAGCCGAACTGGCCAGGACTAAAACTCAATTTTGGGGTTGTAAGGATGGGTGAAAAGGTGAAGGGATTAAGAAGTACAAATTTGTTGTTAGACTGATGAACCTCAAGGGAAAATGGGGAGGGGGTCAGGAAGAGATAAACCGAAGAACTTATATGAATATCCAGTTGTCCCTGCCACTTTGCGCTTCGACTTTCGCAGCTTCACTCTATCGCGATTTTTTCAAATATATTCATTAAAAAGTTGATGGAGACAGTGAAAATGATACAGCGCGCGCTCGGTTGTGTGAGTCAATTATACACCCTGTATTTCAATTAAAATTAAAAATACTGTACATATGGACTGTAGGCCTGTGCATTCGAGCACCCCAGGATCCTTCAACGTCAGGTGCAACCACTCGCTAGAGTCTGGATAAACCACAATAAATGAGGACGACTATGTGTGACCAGTGCACTCAGACAACAGTGTGGGGAAGGCAGGAGGGGTGCGGGAGCCAGGAGGAGGGGGTCAAGGGGAGAAAAAGGGGGGGACATCTGTAATACATTCAACAATAAAGTTTTTATAAAAAAATAAAATATAAAATCTTTGGAGGGGAAGATTTCCCAAATTTACTCCTGGCAAAGCAATGACAGCCGGCAGATGCTAAGTAAGTAAATTATAAAGACCAACAGACTAGGAATCCTACTTGAACTAAATGCGGTAAATAAGGGTTAAAGTACACAGTTCATACAAAATAATAATCCCAATGCACAGGACAAAACCTAATAATACATAAAAATGAATCAGGTACAGTGTAAGGGCAAGGTTCAGTCCCATTGGCAAACAAACCCAAATGAAATGTCCTCATTTCCCACTAGTCACATTAGCTGAGACAGAAGCAGTGAGGGCAGCCAGTGGTGGTGAGGGTGTGGCAGAGGCGGAGAGCAAGGTGCGTGCACAGTCCTCTCGCTGGCACCCGAAGGAGGGGCTCCCACCGCGCTCCTGTGGGGAGGCCGCTGGGCAGGGCCTGCTCTGGGACTGCAAGCTCGCGCCCCTGCAGTGTTCCTCACCCCACCTGCTCCCTGCGCCCACACCCTCTTCTGGGCAGAGAGTTATTCTGGCACCTTTCTCTGAAAGGATGAACCAAGAGCACACCTAACACCAAGGCGCGGATTCTTGGCTTCTTCCTTTTAAAAGCCCAGGGGCTATCAAGCATGTTTCCGATCCAGCAGGAACAGGCTGGGCACAGAAACCGTCTGCGGAGCCGGGCAGGCCGGCCGGCCCAAGTCTGTGCTCAGTGCAATGAGGAAGACACCTCTAGGACATTTTCACTTCAAGTTCAGCCCGTTTTATGCTTACAACCAGATTTACCTTTATGGCTTTAACACAGTGATTCTTTTAGGGACCAGTTTTCAGTTTCTCTTTAATTTCCCAAGCCCCAGGCCACTTCCAGCACAGCAGGCAATCCTGGAGTTCAGGGCAGGGCGGATGATGCCGGGTCCTGGCCTCATCTGGGAAGAACCAGCCAGTGGCTCACAGTGAAGACACCTCTCACCCTCAATGAACGCACTTCCAGACCCGACCTCCAGAAGGCACTCAGTGCTGCTAAACCCAGCAGAGCCAGCCTCCAGCGCCTGATGGGACATCTCTGAACCCAGGGGCATCTTCAAGCTTGTGAGGTATGAAACTGTTGCCAGGGGAACCACCTCTGCTACTTCACTCAGGCACTTTCAGAGTAAGCAGCCCTGTCTGAGGGTACCTGCAGGGTGACTGGCCATTCCTTCAGTAGCAGCTGCTGCGAGTGCAGGCTGCTGGTTAAGAGAGTGCTGACCACTAAAAGCAGCTGGAAGGTTCTGCAGGTGGCCCTGACCCAGACAGTGCTGTTCTGTGCTGAGTCTGCCTCAAACAGCCGTGTAGAAGTAGAACACTGCTGCGTGGAAGACTCCAAAAGGCTCCGGGACCCGCCCACCACCTCCCCAGGGCTCCCCCCACGCGGCCTGTGGAATGCCACGGAGCAGGATTTCCGGAAGGTGGTTGGTTGATGTTATCAGGGCACCAGCCAAGGATTCAGAGACCCCAACAGAAGAACCGCTCCTACAGTATGACTTGTAATTAAAATAGGCCCAGTGTAGTAGCCAAAATATTCTAAAACATGGGGTCTCTGGGAGGAAAGTCAGTGAGAGATTTGGGAGTGCCCTGGCTGGTTTGGCTCAGCGGTTGGAGCGTCAGCCTGTAGTCCAGAGAGACCCGGGTTCGGTTCCCGCTAAGGGCACGTACCTCGGTTGCAGTTTGTCCCCGGCTTGGGCCGTGTGCGTGGCAGCCACTCGATGTGTCCCTTTCACATTGATGTTTCTCTCTCTCTCTCCCTCCCACTCTATCTGAACAAAAGAATGAAAAAATGTCCTTGGGTGAGGATAAAAAAAATAAAGCAGCCAAAGAAAAAAAAGAGATTTGGGAGCAAGAGGTTTTGAGTGGGGGCCACTGAGCTTCAAGTGGGCAGAGAAGGCCCAGAAAGCAGTGCAGAGGCCTGCCAGCCCCGCCCCGCACGCTGCCCCAGGCCAGCTGCTCAGCCTTCCCCTGAGGCGCTCTGACAGCAGAGGTAGAAGCACCTCGGGGGACCCTAGGTAAAGACTCCGGTCGCCCTACAACAGCCAAACTGTCTTCAGAATAACCACAAATTTTGCCTTCTCCGAAAACGGCCTCCTCTCGTTCTGGTCACATGGCAGATGGCTGCCACGGCCTCCTGAAGGTCCCCCTGCCAGCACATCTGCCATGCTGGCCTCACCTCCAGGAAGTGGCCAGGGACGCTGGAAACACCACCCTCCAGTTCCCCATCCCATTCGGAAACGTCCTCCCTCACCCAGCCCCATGGACCCTCAGACCTGGCCTGCTGCTCCCCTCATGCCCTCGGCTCCAGCAGCGCTGAGCTCCTGCCCCTCGCAGGCGAAAGCTCGCCCCGTGGCTCTCCTAGGCCCCGTGGCTCTCCTAGCTCCCGTGGCTCTCCTAGGCCCCCGTGGCTCTCCCAGGCCCGTGGCTCTCCCAGGCCCCGTGGCTCTCCGAGCCCCCGTGGCTCTCCGGGCTCCTGTGGCTCTCCTAGCCCCCGTGGCTCTCCGGGCTCCTGTGGCTCTCCTAGCCCCCGTGGCTCTCCGAGCCCCCGTGGCTCTCCGAGGCCCTGTGGCTCTCCGAGCCGCCACTGCGTATCTTTCGGGGAGCTGTTCAAACGCTACCTTCTCGAGACACCTTCTCTGACCACCCTATCCATAGAGCCCTCTCCGCCTGCCTTCTTCTGCAGGGCTGCCTCATGGTGACTTTGGGGCACTCATCGCCACCTGATGTGTTGGTTTCAGATCCACTGGGGGAGGGGAGTGACTCTGACTTCTTCAGCCCTGCACCCAGGGCTGAGCCCAGTGCTCGGTGCGCAGGGGCCTCCAAAGAATCCACTCCCCTCGTGCCCGGGGACTGGCCCGGCCACACCCCACGCACTGGGTGCGGAAGTGAGGGGGACGAGGAAGGGGCTGGATAGAATGTCCAGTCACTTCCCAGGATGAGCCCTCCTCTGACCGCTCCAGGTCCCAACTAGACGACTTTGGGAAGGTGGAAGGCGACCCGAGTGCTACCGCACTTCCCTTTGTTCTCGCTTTGTTCCACTTAAAAACGAAGTCTACTTTTTTCTCATTGCGATGAGCATCCATCCTCGTTCTAGGTGATTTGGAAACTGCAGAATGAGGAGGAAAGAACCACTCAGCACCCACAGCGGATCACTGTGGACCTTCTGTGGCAGCCTTCCTGTCCTCAGCTCAGCCAAGAGCGTTCTCCAGTCACGCACCCCGGTCTCCTCAGTCCCATGGCCGCTTCGCGGGCTCCAGCTCCGCGCTCCGCAGATGTGGAGCCCTTGTCACCTTGAGCCCGTCCCAGGGCCCCGGGGCGGAGGCTGCGCTGCCGAAAGCTCCCAGGGCCACCAGGGCCACACTCCGGTCTACGCATGGGCTGACTTGTGACAGAGAAAGAGCGAAAGCAGCATATCTGCTCCCTGCACTTTGTCTCTCTCCTCACCCCGGTCACTGTGCCTCACAAGTACCCTGGCTGTCTTGCTGGGTTCTTTTGGAAATACCACCTCTTACTAGGAACCTCCTGCTAAAACCTCACAGGGCTCCTCACCGTCTTCCCGATAATCCGAGACTTGGCCCTGCATTCCAGGGCCTCCCAGGTTAGCCCCAGCCTCCCTCTGCCCCCTCCTCGCTCTGCAGTTCTGGACAAACCAGCCCTCCCAGGCTCGTCCACGCACCCAGCACACCGGCCCATCCCCGCGCTGGGAGTGTCCCGTCCCCAGCCTCCAGGAGCCCTCCTCTCGGCCGCAGCCCGGGCCCCTTCCTCTTCCAGTCCTCAAAGCCTTTAATCCGGCCCGCCAGGCTGGGGACCCAGAAAATCACACCCCGTCTCTGCTAGGAGCACACAGGCCCAGGGATGGAGACGGCCTAGCTGGGAGACGTCGGAGATGTGGTAAGAGCGGTTCCAGGACCTGCCCGGAGACCTGTCACAGGGAAGGCAGCAACCTGGTGCTGCAGACTCGACCCCCACTCCCAGTCCTAGGGCCCTGGGCTCAGCACGCCCGCCTCCAGGCCTGTGGCCTTACCTGCTCCCTGCAAGGGCGCCACCTGCTCGCTGCAGGGAGGGCACCGCTGGGCGGCACGTGAGGCTGCTACTCTTCGCTGCTTCTGGGGACAGAGCCCAGGAAGGCAGCAGGGGACTGAGAGAGTGAAGGCCACAGGGGCTGGTCTCAGACTTACCTGGTCAAAGAGCTGGTGCTGGGCCAGGTACCCGACGTCCTTCGGCTAGTCCATGGGAGAAAAACCAGAGGCAACACGGAGAGCCCGTCAGTGGTGATGGACGCCCCCCAGGTGCTCCTACTACTTAGCTGCTCTCAGTAGCCACATGCTCCTGCCCCCGCCCCCCACAGCCACCTGGAGGCCCCTCCTCTCTGCCCTGCTGTCCCCCTCCTCCGACCAGCGGCTGATGTGACCAGCTCCCTCCTGAGCAGGACTGGCTGACAGGGGGACTACAGACCTGCTGCTGCCTTGGCCACAGAGGCTGCCCAGGGCTGTTTCCTCAAAGGAAAAACGAAGGGCAGACCTCCCCATATGTCAAGGTTGCAGGTTCAATCCCTGGTCAGGGCACACACAAAATCAACCAATGAATGCAAATAAGTGGAACATCAAGCTGATGCTTCTCTCTCCCTTCCTCTCTCTAAAACCCATTTAAAAAATTGGGGCAGATATGGGTGTTAGAGGCTCTTCCTGCCGGCGGACGCCCCCAGGGTGCACCGTTGGGCCTCCCCTCCCGCAGGGGGCTTGTCCGAGTCACAGTCCCCCAAGGGCCTGAACAGCTGTGAGGCTCTTTGTCAGAGGCTGGAGCTTTCAAACTGATGACAGTCTGGGGAGCCACGCTGAGCAATGGGGACACTTGCAGACTGTGTGGTGACGAGAGATCAGACACCAAGCGCTCAGAGGCTCTGGGTTGTCACGATGCCACCGTGGAGGACGTGGACACAGCCACGAAAGCAGGGCCACACGAGGTGGATGGAAGTGTGTGAACCAGAGAGGGCTGTCTCAAGAGAAGATGCTCAAAGACCTGGTGCCCACTTCACTGTGAAAAGACTTGTCGGTGGCATTGGAGACACTGGAGGACATCATGTGAGGCTCCTTTAAACCGTAAGGGAAATCTGAAGTGACTGACATCTTGACTGACAGGCAGCGGCAGGAAGAGAGGCTTTGCCCTTTAACTTTTGATGGCCACGGCTCTGTAGACACGACTGTCATTCACACACCACACTGAATGGAAAGGAGAGCCTACGCAAGAGGTGGCTAGTCCTCATCCGAGGAGGTCGAAGTGGCTCTGGAAACTTCGAAGGTGGTTTGGGCGAAATGACAGCTTTGGCTGTGGTCGCAGTGGCTGTGGTGGAGCCATGGTGGTGGGGAGGGTGGCTGTGGGGACGGCTACAACGGATCTGGTAACGGTAGAAGCAACTCTGGACACGGCAGAAGCTACGAGGATTTCAGCAATTACAACACTCATCTTCAGGCTGTGGACCCGCGGAAGGAGGGGACTTTGGAGGCAGAAGCTCTGGCCCATGGTGGTGGAGGCCAATACTTTGCCAACCACGAAGCCAAGATGGCTGTGGCGGTGCCAGCAGCAGCAGCTGTGGCAGCTCTGACTACTGCCAGGGAACAGAGCTCAGCAGGACAGGCGAGCCGAGGGGTGACAGGGAAGCCACAGGTTACACCGGATTGGAGCTCAGCCCAGCTCTGGTGCAGCGCCTCCCTGCGACAAAGACGACATTAGACAGCACCCGCGTGGACGGGCAAGCACTCGAGGCTGTATCGGTGACTATCGCACAACAGGTCATTTTAGTTTCTGTTCTGTGGAAACTGTAAAGCATTCGGACACAGGGTTTTAATGTAGATTTTTTCACCCATGCTGCTGATTGCTAGATGGACTAGTCTGACATGACGCTGAATAAATGTGTCTTTTATTAACTGTGCTGTGTAAAGTTAGTCTGCTCTGAAGCCATCTTGGTAAATTAGCCCAACAGTGTGAAGTCAGAATTCCTTCAGGGTGATGCCAAGTTCCATCTGAAACTTATTGACAGTCTGCTGGGGCACACAAGCCAATGTCCTCAGAAACCCTGGTGTGGCTGAACTGACAGTTAGTGGGTTGTGACCTGGAGTTCACCATTAAAAGGGTCACCCAAACTGAGTCGTGGAGTTTATCTGGTTATTAATGATTGTTGACACATCCAATGTAATATGTCTAAATTGAATTATGGTACCAGATAAAATTACAGATAAAAATGAAGCTTATGTGTCATCCATTATCACGTATAATCAATAAACGATTTAATATCCTCTTGGGGAAAAAATGAAGGGGCTGTACTCACATGACAATTTAAAAAAAAAATGCAATCATACTATATGTATTACTTTGAAATCTGCATTTTTCATTTAATGATACATCACAAATCTCTCTTTAAGTTGATACAAAAGAGTCTGACTCACTCCTGTGATGGGTTCACATTTAATAGACAGATACTCGTCATTAACTCACCTCTCCCCTATTGGTGGACATTGGTTGTTTCAACCACTTGGGTTGTTTTGCTAGGGTTTCAATAAACAGCCTCATATTCTAGTCTTTATATTCACATACATCCAGAAGTAGAATAAGAGTCAAGGAGTATGTGCATTATAATTGTCATAACTTCTGCCAGGTTATTTTCCCCACGTTAAGTGATTTGTCCTCTTTCCAGCAATTAACGTGAGCGCCCGTTTCCCACGCCTTTGGAGACCATCACTGTGTGAAGAGGTGAGGGCTTGTCACACTGGGCTTCGCGCGAGGGCTGCTCGCAGGTGCCTGTAGCCCAGGTGAGGATTGATGGGGGCAGAGCGGAAGGGGTGCCTGCCCCTTCTCCCCACGCCAGGGTGGGGTCAGCTTCGGTCTGCCGGCTCTGCGGCTGCACTGGTGCTGAAGTAAAGAAGGTTCCTCCAGGATTCCTCGAAAATCTCTTTCCATCCCTCTCCTTCATTCCCTCTTCCTTCCGACGAACATTGAGAGTTTATAAAATGCAGACCCTGTGCTGAGCGTCAGGCAGAGCCAGATCCAACATGACCTCTGCCCTTGCAGACACCCTGGCGCGGGACGAACTGTGCCGGCGGGAATGAGTGCTGTGCACGCTGTGCTTCAAGCTTCACGCATCACCCTCGCAGCAACCCTGTGACACGTGCTGACCCGTGACTAACCCCAACCAGCCCCAGCTAACCAGAAGTCAGGGCACTGACGATCCAAGAGGTTAAGTAACCAGCCAAGGACACACAGCCAGCCAGGGCCAGTGCTGGATCGAGTGCTGTTCTGCCTGAATCCAAAGTGTACATCCTGCCTGCTCGCCCTCTGGTTCCGCCTCTTAGCTCTAGCAACCAGGGTCTTCCCAGCAGAGGGAGACAGCACGGGCCTCTGGGTGTGTGCCCACAAGCAGAGGTGGACATGGCAACACCATGCGTCTGCAGTCCGCGGCTCCCTCTGCCAGGACTCCAGGTGACAGTGCGCTGAGCAGGGATGGGAGTAGGGGGGGAATGCAGGAGAGGAGGACTGGAAAGGTGTCTGTGAGCAATGATGGCGGAGCCCACAGCCCACTGAACCGCATGGAGTGCCTGTGGAGGAGGCTGGAAATGTAGGAGGGCAAGAGAAGGCGTCAGGAAGGGTACTAGGGTGCTCCCTCAGGAGCTCAGTCACAATGCTGAGAAGGCCAAGAGAGTAAACTGCTAGCCCCCAGTCACTGACCCGGACCCGCTGACTGCAACAATGACCACACCTGGTCCCAGCTCTACAGTGTGGCCTGGGCTGCGAGGTGCAGGGGAAGAGCTGCGAGGTGCAGGGAAGAGCTGCAAAGCGCCGCTGCTCACTTCCCACACCTCGCGAAGGCCCTTGCTGGGTGGGCATCCCCGCTGAAGGGTCTGTGCCCCCACCCACAGGCTTCCCTCGTTCCAGCCAATGGGGGTGGTTCAGGCACTCAGGCAGGCAATCGCATTCTCTGCTCCCCGGTGTCAGGAGAGGAGGCGCCCCAGCCCCACTGCTAAGAATCTGAAATGATAAAACGGTGCAGCTGCTCTGGAAAACACTATGGAAGCTCCTCGCAAGGTCAGACACAGAGCTGCCACCTGGAGTTAGTTACCTGTGGTCCCACTTAGTATATGTCTAAAGGACGCGGAGACACATGTCCACATGGAACCTGTGCGTGCATGTTCACAGCAGCTTTTTCCTTTTTCTGATCCTCACCTGAGAATATGTTTTTACTGATATTTAGAAAGAGGAAGAGGGGGAGAGGGAGAAAAGAGTGAGAAAGAGAGAGACAGAGAGAGAGGTGAGAGAGAAACACCTATCAGTTGCCTCCTGTATGTGTCTCTACCAGGGATCGAACCCACAACCTAGGTATGTGCCTTGATGGGGAACTGAACACACCACCTTTTCGGTGTATGGGACGATGGCTTCAATCACCTGAGCCACCCGGCGAGGGCCACAGCAGCCTTTTTCATACTAGCCAAACGTGCGCACACCTCGAGTGGCCCTCAGCTGATGCATGGATAAACCAAACGTGGTCCCGCATATAGTGGACATTATCCAGCCATGAAAAGGAAGCACAATGCCGATACACGCCACAGCGCGGGTGAACCTGGAAAACACGCTGCTCGGGGACGGAAACCAGACACGGCAGGCCACATGCTGTGCGACCCCATTTACAGGAAACATCCAGAACTGGCAAATCTATGGGAACACTAAGCAGATGAGTGATTGCCTGGGAATGGGAGAAAGGGAATGGGGAGTGACTGTTACTTAGTTTGAGGTTTCTTTTAGGGTGATGAAAATGTTCTGGAATTATATAGTAGTGATGGTTGCACAATCTTAGAATAGACTTAAAACCAGTGAAATGGGCAACAAAAAAGTTTTTGAAGTGAGTCCCTCATATCACGTCCACCTGGCTACCTGCCACCTGTCCTCCTGACTGACTACTCTAGAACCTTCCAGCGCAGCACACAGAGGTTATTTGCCCGAATGTGACGTGTTCTCCCCCTTGTAAGTATTAGGAGAAAGGAGTCAAAATGACATACCTCATTCAGGATGTATTTGCTGATGAACTCATTGACCGTCATGAGTCTCTGGGACCATTCCTCGTCTGTGTACCTGGAGCCCACCTCCACCGGGACAGTTCGGCAGCCAGCAATTTCTTGGATATACTCCAAGCTATTAGAACAATATGCGTCGTCATTTCATTACTACTGTTGGTGCTTGCTGGGCACTCTAAGCATGCTTCACACTGGTCTCCTCTGATCATCACAACATCCCCTAAGGTGGAGACTGCTGCTCCCCCCTTCACTGACGAGGCCCAGAGTGAGGCTCCTGTCCACTCTGTGCTGTGTAGCTCTGCAGACAGATCCAACACATCTCATTTGCCAGTCTGGCTGGCGGCTCTGTTCTGCCGCTTGCTAGCTTTCTCCTTGTTCGCCTTGTCCTCAGCTGAGTAAATGGTCAACACTGCAGGCACAGTGAAGTGCCTGGGTTCTCGACTCCGGTGGCTCGACATTGACTCCAGACCCTGCCTGTGATAGACCTGGGGATCTTCAGCAAGTTACTTAACCTCTCTGAGCCCCTGCTCACCACTGCAAAAATGGTGGTGATGGCTGTTCCTGTCCCATAGGAACCAGGGAGGATCAAGAGAGAGTAAACGTGGAAGGGCCTGTCTTGGTGCCCAGCACGCGGGGAACACATGTGGCACGCTTGCTGGGACGCTGGCTCTGCCGTCACAGCCCCTCCTCAGTCTCAGCAGGAGCCACTCCCCCACAAAGATACCACCTTAAGACAGGCTGACTCGATGAGCCTGCTTGAGACCCTCCTCCTTTCCAAGATGAGGCACAGCTACAGCATCACAGCCGCTCTCCAGCTCCTCTGCCTCCGAGTGTGAGGCGGGGCTCGAAGCAGGTGTGAGGGGGCAGCTAACACAAGAGCCCATAGGAGCCCGGGAGAAGGGGATGAAGCTGTCTCCGGGGTTCTTATTTCTGCTCTGAAAACTCAGGGGCCTTGAGAAAGTGCACAGAATTCCTAAGTTCCCACAAACGTGCACAACAGACTTCACCCTGGGCTGCCCCTGAAGCCTTCATTAAAACGGCTCGGAGCAAACAGGCGGGATGGGGTTGAGTCTTAGATCTGGTGCCGCTCCACGGCACTGACTGTCGGTTCTTTTTTCTTAATCCTCACTTGAGGATGTTTTTGTTTCTTTTCTCTTCCTTTTTTAAAAATTGACTTTAGAGAAGGGGAAGGAAGGGAAGGGGGGGAGGGGGGAGGGGGGACAGGGAGAGAGAGAGGGGGAGAGAGAGAGAGAGAGAGAAATATGTTGATGTGAAAGAGACACATCCTTCGGTTGCCTCCCAAACACGCCTTGATCAGAGATTGAACTTGCAACCTAGGTATGTGCCTACTGGAAATCAAACCCACATCCTTCTGGCCCACGGGACAATGCTTCAACCAGCCAAGCCACCCGGCCAGGGCTGTCAGTTCTTGTTTAACCCTGGGCCACCCACCCCAGGGCCTGGCAGTGATGTGTCTAGGGACTGTTACTTGGGGCTGGCTGGGGAGGAGTGCGGGAAGTCTTTGGGAATGCTAAAATGGGAGGGAGAACCTCCGGGGCCTCAGCAGCAACCCACCTCCACTTCTTCATGCATGGCCAATGGTCAGCCACGCCTTCCAAGATCACAGGTTTCTGTGGCATCAAGTAATGCTTTCTGAAATGCTGGAGGGACGGACAGTGAAGCCGGGGCACTGCTTTCTCTGACCTCATATCTGGAATCGACACATGGCCATTCCTGGCTTTCTGTTTAAAATAAAAACAAAACGAAAATGGCAACCACCAAGGAAAGAAAATTTGAGGCACTCCTCTAGGAATTTGCATCAATGGCAGGAGAGCTTCTGCGTCACTGATTACAATGATAGTGAACATTTATTATCATTATTACTGCTGCTGCTACTGTTTACTTCTCATGGGAGCAAGATATTTTTTCTTTGCCAGGTCATTTCAAATGTTTGTTCAATTATAAAAGTAATATGTTGTTTTCATAGAAATTCTGCAATAGAGGAAAGCTTACTGTCTCAAACTCCACCATCTAACATAAGAGCATTCTTCCTCATTCCCCAGTACCTCTCCCACCTTTTCCAGACGCATCCCTGATCCACGGGTAGTAATACTCATGATCAATAAGCAACTCTGCCTCTTCCATCCAATTAATTTATCTAAAGCAGTTTCCCTGTTACCACCAGTCCTTGCAATGTCTCAGGACTGGCTGCATCATCATTTACTTACCCATCTCCCAGCTGACTGACCTGGATAGGTCACCAGCTCTGAGCTTCAGTTTCCTCATCTGTTAAACTACTGGGAGACAAGCTCTCAGGGGTCAAGTACCCAGCATGACTGCCTGGCATGTGCTGGCATCCTCTGCCCCTGCCAGACTCCACACCAGTTCTCCACATTCGCAGCAGTGGCAGCTAACACCCTTACCTGCAGGCAGTGTGCTAGGCCATACGGCTGCTGCTTCTCTTCGCTGCACAACCCTCGGACTACAGCTTTCATGTTCACGTACCCCGCGTTGCAGAGGCCTCTCCCGACCTTTTACAGCCTCACTGGACTCTCGGCACCAGGAGGACAGGGTCTGGGCCTTTCTACACCATCACCTAGTGACTGGCACATCTGTGCCACCGCTGGTGCTCAATAAAGCTGCTGAGCAAGAGTGGCATGGAGGGGCTATGACACTTGCCTGACTCACAGGCAGGGCATGGCAGCATGGGAACTTGAGAACAGGCAGGCTGGCTCCAAAGCCTGAGCTCTCAGCCCCTTAGCTATATCCACTGCCCACACCACGAGCACCACCTTGGGCATGAAACCACTTCCATATGCCCTTGGGAGAGACTTATGATGGGAAAGGGCACTGCACCCCCTGGGTCAAAGGGGACAGGTGTTTGTCCCTTGTTCTACATGTTTGCCCTGCACTCTTCAAGGTCAGTGAATACACCACGTCCTTAGCTCCATGTCACCCTTGGCAATATGAATACTGTATAAAACCCTGATAATTTCATAGCTAAAAACGACTGATGATTTTGCATTTTTTTAAAACCAGAAATGAGGTCAAACATTTTCCCACGCTTCTTTAATAGATCTGTTTCCTCCTTGTGAACAGACTTGCCCAGAGATATAGTAAGTGAGGTGTGTGCGCCAGTAATGGGGTTTGACGCCTCCTCAGTAAACCATGCTCAGTGTCTTAGACTATCCTTTGCCAACTGCGTAAATACCAGTAGGGACATGTGCAAAGATCTAAGGGGCAACACTGGTCAGTCACGTGACCAGAAGATAACTAGTTGTGGTACCTCCCCCAGACTCAGCAGTGCAGAGACAGAGGCAGCCAGAAAAGTGGGTGATACTTCAACAAGCTGACCAAGAAGCTGAGAGATGGGTTAGCTGGCTGCAGCTCTCACCCACATGTTCCCTTTGAGCTGTTCTTGCAGGGACACCAAAGCCGCCACCCTCCCTCTCTCCTGAAAGGGCACTGCTGCTGCAGCAATGAAGAAAAAACTGAGAAAACAGATGGAGCTGTTCTATTTCTAAATCAATGAAGCTGATGTTTTCAGCCAGACAGGTCAGCATGCCAAGGCCTTACTTCAGGGGAAGGGTGACTTGTTAATTCCAGGACAACGGGGCTGTTGGATTGTTAGGTGTGGTCAGTGAAAATCCCACCATGATACCTTTATGCAGGGCTGCTCCTGGGCCGGGCCTTGGGCAGGCCTTTTTCCAGGGAGAAGGTGCATCTGGAGGACAGCAGCGACTTTGATGAGGATGTCCTCAAAGATGGCTGCCCCCATCAGCAGGCCCATGTCACAGACTCTTAGGGCTGTGGCCACAGTGGCATCCCCAGGCTCTTCACAAAGACACATGGCTTTCAGAAGGCAGCCAAAGGCATAAACCCGGCGCCAGTCTTTGTCCACATCCTGCCACGCCCCGGTATTGAGCTTCTCCCAGGAGTAGTCAAGGATTGCCTCGCTTGTCTGCAGACACTCGCTCCTTTCGCCCCCATAGAAGAGGTCGGCGGACTGCTGCAGCAGCATCACCACACTCCTCTCCACGTTCTCACTGAGGTCCAACTTCAGCTCTTCTTTAGTGCGGGGCAGAAGTGCCCTGAGGGCCTCCTGGAGAGCACCTGCTCCCGCCAGGGCATTCTGGTCGCTGTCTTCAGCCATCAGGCCCACTGCCAGCTCAGTCTGAGTGCTGGTGGAGGAAGAAATAAGTTATAGCAAAACACCATGATGGACACTTGAATCCATACAATTTTATTTTTTATAAAATAAAACTGGGATGAGAGCTAGATCTGTGATGACATCCAAGGACCAAAATGTCAACCGAGATTTAAAACATATATAGAGGGAGACCACATACAAATTGGTCCCCTATAGGTTCCTGCAGCTTCCTGCACTTGTCCTTTGTAACACACTTCTCATCTGCGATGATTCCTCAACAACGATGCTAGGCATTAACTCTGTGAGGGCAGAGCCCCCATCTGTCTGGGATCGCCATGGTATCTTCAGGGCCTGGCACAATATCAGACATGCAGTGGGCATAGAATAAACATTTGTTCAGAGAACACATACAGTCCTTGTCTGAAATACCTCCAACATCCCTCCTCTCTGGCAAACCTATCCAACCTTTAGGCCCACCTTCAATGATCCCCTATGTGAAGCCTGCCAAAACTCGGACAGTGTTTTGTGTTCCAACAGCACTGGAGCTTCTTTTACAGCAGTTGTCACAGGTACCACAAATACCTGATGACATGTCTGTCTAATACTTGCTTGTGAGCTCTTCCAGGGCAAGAACATTTCTCTACATTTCCCTGGAGCCTACAAGCAATCTGGCTCATAGTAGGCACTCAATTAAGGCTACTGAAAAAATGAGATCTTAACTTCTCAGGAAGAAATCTAGAAATACACAAAACCTATTCAGAAGGGAAAAACTTCACAGTTGGTGCGTTTGGTGGCATTAGCTTGGGCATTATATATGGATGGATGGCCAGTTCTTAGGTATAAGTGTTAACATGTAAATAGGTTTTACTGTTCAAAATGATGATTATATATATTTAATGACTGGACAAGTCATAAACTGGGGTTATTCAAAGCAAACTGAGACCTATGGTTAACCTAATTATAAGCTATATGTAAAAATCTGAGTGATCTTGTCTTTTCCCTTAAAATGTCCATTTCTTAGAGCTCAACATCATTGGTCATACGCTTTTTCAAAAGGTGGTGAGGGTGAAGGCATAGAAGCAGCCCGAGTGGTCCTGGCTTTACACTAGCCTTCCAGAGTTCCACATTTATTGGCCACATGACAGCCTTCGGGGGAAGGTCAGGTACAGGTTGCATACATTAGCTTTTCTCAGAGGCCTGTGTTTTGGCTTCTTACATAAAGGCCTGTTTGTTGGTATATAAAACAATAATCTAGGCCCCGGCCGGTGTGGCCCAGTGTTTAGAGCATTGGTCCATGAACCGAAAGGTGGCAGCTTCGATTCCTGGTCAAGGGTATGTACCTGGGCTGCAGGTTCGATTCCTGGACCTGGTTGGGTTTGTGCAGGAGGCAACCAATCCATGTACCTCTCGCACATTGTTTTTTTCCTCTCTCTCTCCCACTCTCTCTAAAAATCAATGGAAAAAATATCCTTGGGTGAGGATTAACAAAAATACAAATAAAAAAACACAAAAGCAATAATCTTGGAAAGGTGGTTAGATAAAGGCTGTATGAACTAATCTGAGTGCCTTCTGCAACCCAGGTACATGCCCTTGACCAGAATAAATGCCCAACCCTTGGCTGACACTAACCACTGAGCAAAACCAGCCAGGGCTGTCTTGGCTTTATTAATCAGCTTCCTGTTAACTTTATAAAAAAGCTTCTTATTGGTCACAATAAACACCATCCAGACAGAGTGCACAACATAGGCCAGTCCTTGGTTGGTGTTAGTAAACATCCTGAATGGGTTCCTGCTGCTTGTAAGCTAAAGCCTTCTAGGAAGCCGCCAGTCATTCCAGAATTCTCTTAAATTATGTTTAAAAATCTAAAGCATTTCTCAGAGCAGTCTTTACACCAATTGGGCGACTCTCATCATGATTCTCGGAGGGTGCCTGATCAGCCTAAGGAAACAGCTCCGTGAGCCGCACAGAAGCCTCAGGCTGACCTGAACAGCCATTCCCAGAGCAGCGGGGTCTCGAGACTGCCTTCCACGCTGGCATTCAGGATATACTGCCTATACCTGGCTTTCTGGGAAAAGGCTGCCCACATTGTTTTGTAATTTCTTCAATTTTATTATGGCAGTATCCCACAGAAAGAGCAAGAATGAGAGCTTTCTAGAGAGATCTATGAAACCTTCCAGAAAGCTTAATTTGCTAGAACAGGGTACCTTTTGAAACCGAGGGTCCTATGACTTTGACTAAATTTAGTTTAAAATCCTAGTTCTAGAAATCCTATCCCTCTCTTTATATATAACCCTAGAGACCTAGACCTTCCCCTGGATAACCAGGTCCCCCCCCCCTTCTCCCCAGGCAGCAGCAGACAGTAGACCGGACCTGACTAACGCTCACTGGTCTGGACCTCTGGCGGGATAAACATAACATCTTGACCTAAGTTACACTTCAGTTTCTGAGCCCTAAGGTGGAATGACCTCCAGGCTACTTCCCATGAGCCCTGAACAGAGGAACCCGGAAAACACCTCGGAGCTGTCCTCAAGACCTGAAGATTCCTTACCCTCACCTCACCTCCTACCAATCGGCAGCCAGCACAAGCGGAACCCCTAACCCACATACAGTGTCCTGTGATTTTGCCCTATATAATCTGTAACCTACATCAAGTTCCTGCTTTTGAGCATTAGACCCGTTCTCCAGGATGGCGCCATTCATCACTAAAACAGCCAGGATTTCTCCACTTCGATCCTCGTGTCCAGTGTTTGGCTCTGCTAGGGCTGGGTGGACGAACTCTGTTCTGACACTTGGTCGGTGTGGCCCCAGCCCTCTCTCCCTCCTGGACAGTTACCCCTAAGCATGGCGACTTACCATATTTTTCCACCCTGAGGGGCACACCGCGATACTGATGCTGAGTTAACGCCTACCGAGGGGGAAAGCCCCGTCCTTCAGCGGCGAGGGCGCCGGCCCCACCTGCTCGCTCCCGGCGCCGCGCTTGCCCACACCCACCCTCCACCCCCAGGCCTCACACCCTTTCCCTTCGCGGCGCCTTCCTCAGGGCTTCATTTCTGGCGAGCCATTCAGAACCCTATGGCTCAAGCGTTTCTGTTCGGCCTAGTTCCAGGCCGAAAACAAAGGCCGACTCCTGGGCTGGCAGCTACCTGCCGTGAGAGTCAAAGAAACACAAATCACACAGGTACGTTCACATTGAACGAACGCCACAGCAAGAACTGCGCAAGCGCAGAACAGCCTGGCTTAACGCATGCGCAAAACGAAATTCTGAAATCCACCCAAGCGCAGGGTCTCTCTCCTGCCCCTCGCGGCGCTGGAGGAACCTAGAGCCCGCTACCTGGCATTCTCAGAGCGCATGCGCTGGCTCTGTCGCCTCTTCGGCGAGGCTTCCAAGGCGCACGCGCGAGGCCGACCTTTCTTGATACATTTCTTAGCGCCTGCGCAGTTCTCCCTTCTGCGTGTAAGAATCCGCTTCGCTTTCTCCAGGAACTGCCGCTAACCTTCCTTGCGTTTTCACCGTGTCCAGTCGCCCGGGGACGGGCGAACACTTGATCCTTTTGGTCGGTACACTTTGGGTCTCTCCTCCGAGTTGTGAGAAGTATGGCTCTCACAACTCGTCTGGTCTGACGGAGTGCCTGGAGGAGGGTGGCTGCCGCCGCCCGCCCCGGTGAAAAGGCCTGAAGTCGGACGCTGGACAGAATTCTTCAGTTTTTCCTTCCTCCTGGGTCCTGCCTGCGGTTCGTGTGCAACGACAGCTTCCTATACTAGGCAGCTAGCTGCACAGCCATCATATTTGTCCCAATCTTACAAAATGTCACCAAGGAGCAGGGTCTGGGTCAGTGGATGGAAATATTAAGAGGAAACATCAGGGGTTCGAGGAATTCTACCAAATTAGCTATACAGCATTCATGCAGAAAGGCCACGGTGATAAGAATCAAGATTGAGGGATGAAGAAATTGATACTAAACCAAGGTTGGGGATTTTTGCTAAACTGACCCAGCAGGATTCTTGCTAAAACTAAACAGAAGAGCTGACTGGAATTAGGTCAAGGAGCGTCTTGGTTATTGGTCACCAGGGATGTGTCAGGTATTGTCTGGGCCCCTTGGACTTCTCAGTGTTGTTTAATTCTCTCAACAACTCTATGAGGTGGAAGGCAATATGTCTTATTTACAGACAGGGAGACTGAGGCTTGCTGGAGGCCAACTCAACAGATCAGTGGATTGTAGCTACTATTCTAGCATCAAAGAAAAAATAAACTCAACCCCTGCTCTCAAGGATTGCACAGGTAAATGAGATGAACAGATATTTATGATACATTTACTACACACCTGGCACTTTCAAAGCACTTAAAAAATATTAAAATCATAGGTAACTATTATAGTTTTCATCTCAAGTTGAGTGGTGTGACAACATTGAATTTTACCTGAGGCTTGTGCTCCTAGAAAACAGTGAAGGTTAAAGGAATTCCCCTCACCCTTTTGTGTTCCAGAAAACAGCTTATTGCCAAGAATCACCCTTCCTGTGGGACTTGCATAAGTCATAGGTGCCTCCTTGTTTACCTATGAAAAGGCCAATCACAGGCTCCAAATTCCCATTCTTTACTTCATCAATGAACTGCTTGTCCCTGCTAATCAATTGGAGCAGAATGCTTGTTAACAAAACTTTGGTTAAATTCTCTCTCTCCAAGCCCCTGAACTTTGGATCATCCTTAGCCTGAGCCAGCAGCCAGCCCTCCTGAGAATAGGGTGGCCTCAGGGTACTGTCTCATCATGCTACCTTTTCACCCCACTTCCCGGTTCTTTGTAGCCTTGTTTTCTCCTCCCTATGAAAAAAACATCTTGTTGCCTAAGCCTGAAGATACTTGCAGACCTTGGTCACAGTCTTCTCTCTATTGCAGTGGTCCCTGTCCTTGGAATCATTCTTTCAAACAAAAGTCTCCCATTACTAAGTCTAGTTTTATTTTTTATTTGACAGTGGGTGAACACTCAGTTTCTAGGAGCCCAGACAGGCCCCATAGCAGGGGCCAAAGGATATTTAAATGCAGGACCCCCTGATTTTCTTCCACAATGATCATCAGTGGGGTTCTAGCCTTTCACAGTGAGTAGGGGTACTGCCAGCCATGCAGAGACAAACACTTTGCCAGCTTCTTTGTGTTTTCTTTCCTTTTTTTGTGTGTTTTCCTTTTTTGGTTAATCCTCACCTGAGGATATTTTTCTGTTGATTTTTAGATAGAGTGGAAGGGAGGGAGGAAGGGGGAGAGAAAAACGTCTATGTGAGAGAGATACATCAGTTGGTTGCCTCCTGCATGACCCCTTGGGGTCGGGGATCAAAACTGCAACCCAAGTATGTGCCCTTGACCTGGAATGGAACCCGAGACCCCTCCGTCCGAGGGCTGATGCTCCAACTGCTAAGCCAACCGGCCAGGGCAGTATTTTCAAAATTGGTTGGTTGAGGTGGATTACAGGTGCAGGTGAAATGTTTTCCTACAAGAGAAGAGCCATAATCTTTTACCATGGGGCTTCACTTCCTGTTCATCTTCCCTCCCCCCCCCAATTCCTTGTAATTGGCCATTAAGCTGATAGACCCTTTCGAGTGCTGCAGGTGATGGCATGACTGTGAGACTATCTATCTTCAACATGTTTCTAAATACTGAGACAGTATCACATTTCTCATATGCATTAGTTATACCACTTCTCCCTTCAGAAAGGAATTGAGGCTGATTTCCATTATAAATCTATTATACATTAGAAGAACAGGCATAAAGTTAGTGATTTGATTTTTTTATAAAATTAAAGTCAGACATAATGACATGATCTCTTTTTCTAATATATGATGTTTAAAGTAGTTTTTAAAATGAAATATATGTATGTGAATTTGTTTTCATGTGACTTCATTATAATTTAGAGATTTTGTTCACTCAGAAAGTTTATTGCATTTAACATATTTGTTAAACTCATAATAGGTCCACTCAGAATCAAGGGGAGAGAACACAAACAACCCTTGGTGGCGGTCTGTCATTGTCACATCGTGAGAGCTAATGAGATGGGATAGCTTGGTGTCATCATCTTTGGAAAATACCATCTGTCACATCAGTGAGGCCGTTGTACACTGAGGATTCCTAGGTTACTTAAGACACCTTTCATCCCTGTCTGGTTTCTATTTTGCTTCAAAGAAACTTTCTAATATTCTCCCCCGCCCCAAGTTTGGTTATTCTTGAAGATGGTTTCAGTTGATACAGGGGCTCATTAATAACATTGTGGGAATCATTGCCTTCTGAGTTCTCTCCTAGTCCTTTTGTTGGAGTCCAGGAGACAGTCTCAGGTTGGTGCTATAAATGTCTTTTACATATTTATAACACTCGCTAATTTCTTTCCTTTTTAGTGTTCTGGCTCAGAACAGCCATTGTGGTAGAATTTAATCATATTGTTTTGTTGTTTTATTACTTGGGCAGTTCTCCTCTGCAGCAGACATTTGCTGCTACCAGAGTGATGCACACCCCCTGACTCCCCATTTCCCTTGCAGTTCGGCAGGGCCATGTGACTGTGCATGGCCAGTGGGCTGTGTGTGGAAGATTTAAAAGCGTGGGTGGTGTCTGTCTCCTGTTCTGAGCCCGCATTGCCTTTGCCTCCATCTGCCTGAGGCTGTCACTGACTGGGGACCCTCCGCCAGCGTCAACCCACGTCACACATGCAGCATTTTCTGTGTTAATCTTTTGAATTCCTGAGATCAGCTGTTGTTGCTGCATTGCCTAACCTGCCCTGACTAATACACCTTTAAATAGGGTGAGTGATGCTGGATTTTCATTTACATAATAATGCAAAGTTTACTAATAAACAGTAAGATAGTTCAAAAGAAAACAGGTGAATAATTTGCTAGGTGATACTCAGACATGGCAAACTCCTCAGGGCAAGGACTCAAGTGACTGACATTTGGGGACATTACTGCCACTGTGTTCTCATCGTGTTCTCTGCATGGGAACTCGCCTTTATTGGAATTGGCCAGAACATAAATCTCTGTTAATTCCCCTTTGTTCCCTGTATGTACTGTGGCTTAAACAATCGTCCAGATCTCTTCATTAAAACTGATTAATCAGAGATTTCATGAAAAGATCTGAAATTCCTATTTGATTTTTGAGCCAAATAGCTTGCCTTTGCCTGTAGTGTTCCCCTGACACTAATCAAGAGTATGAATCTGGTGAGAAGGAACTTGCAAGTCTCTTTGTTCATGGGGTGCTATTTTAAAGGCAGAAAATGATAACTCAAAATGAGAGACCCCCGGGCATGGAAGCCAAGAAGGAAAGGATGGAGTGTCATTCCAAGTCAGTGCCCCCAAAGCCGGGCATGACCGATTAGGGAGTTATTGGGTCTTGGCACAGTGATTATTTGCATGTTGGGAAGTGCTAAAATATTAATGTACTTGATCATGTCTCTTCCAGTTAGATGTAATAAATGCAGATTTGAATGGCCATGTTTTATTTTGATGTAATGGTTTGGCCTTTTAGGGGTGGTATGTAGCTCTCCAGTTCTCTGGGGTTGGCCTGATTAGAGGTAAGCTGCTATTTGAAGATGCGGTGTGATTAGTTTATTATTAGAGACTCCTTCTTGGGATTGAAAGAATAGGCAGTATTAGCTTTTTAGTTTGAAACCTACTGCTTTCCCTTATTCCTCCCTCCCCTCCCCTCCCCTCCCCTTCCTTCCCTCCCTCCTTCTCTTTTTCCCTCCTTTCTCTCTTCCTGTCTCCCTTTCTTGAGCAGGTTGAGTAATCTCTCTAAGCTCCAGTTTCCTCATCTGTAAAATAGCAATAATAGCAATACCTATGGGAATTTTTATGAGGAATAAAAAAGGTACTGTGTTTGAGGTATTTAGCACAGTGTTTGGCACATACTAAGAGTTCAGTAAATGATAGCTGTTCTTATCATCAGGTTATGTAATCTTTCTGAGCCTCAGTTTCTCCATCTGAAAAATGGGCTC